GAACAATACTGTGAATATCGTCTAACAAGTTATTCAAGTATTTTTTCACTGTCCAAATGAAAACAATTTATTCCATTACCATTTAAACTTGATTATAGATAGCTGTTTTCTGAATAAATCAATGATTAGTGAATCATAGTAATTCAATCAAACTCTTAATATGGAGAAAGAATAATTTTACGCGTTCAGATCGAATATGTTTTGAAAACATAATGATATGCGACTGGTTTTCTGATGGAATTAACTATCTCATGGAAGAATTTTGTAATAACTCTTAAGGTTTTTATGCAAACTATTGCAGTAAGTCATTTCTGCTCGTGAGTAATCTGATGCAACCGTTAAATTTTATCAATATTTGGCATTATACAGTTCATTTAGTTTCAATGCAATTATGAATCGATAAATGTTAGCCGACAATAAGCCAACCGGAACCAATGAATAGTTGTTTCGTTTCGATATGAAAATCGTGATTTCAATGAAAAACAATAACTCAAAGATGCAAAGGCTCATTGTATGGAAAGAATTCCTCAATTACATGAACAGAGATTCCAACAAAGTCTATCTATCTCCAATCAGCTTCATGCATACCACTGGAACGTAGGAATTCTCACAATAATTTCATAACTTACTCATAAGCTGCAGAGATGGTGGTGAAAACGTGAAGCTCAGGTGGATGATTGTGTTTGTATTGGTTCTGTTAATTGGATGTTTCGGCTGTGTAGCTTTCAATGTCGTTTTGCTGGACAGCAACATCAGCAAAAACTTTGAGTACCTTACTTCGATCCGAAGTTTGTGCTTATAAAGTCTTTTAAGCTAAATGACAATGACAGCTTCACAATCGAAACATTCAGTTCAGAGAACGAAACACCACCATATTTATATGCACAAACACTATATTCACCAGTGTTTTAGTTGTTAAGAGACCAGTATTTTCCGCTAACGTTTCAGGCCTCACATTTTGGTTTCAAGGAAATCTTTTTCAAACAGAATGATGTGACTAATGAGACTACTTTAAATTTTTGTTATGATAATCCATGCAGTGCGTTTTTTTTTCATGTTCAACCATTTGTTTACTTAATTAAACAGAATGATTGTTTGAATATAACTGTTTCTATTTATTTATTTACCATATAGTAAACTTGGTTGTAATTTGTGAGTTAACTAGAAATCTTGTTACAATTCAAATTTTATTCATTCCACTATTGATATCTAAATGGATACATGTGTACACTTTCAAATTTATGAATCCATCAATGTTAGATCACCATTAGAAATGTGGATGCACTTAACGATTGTTTAGTCCTGAAACGGGACTCATAGGCAGTGGTAATTCACAATTCTAGTTACTCGTTATTGATGGTCTCGCAATTGGGCCTTGACTATAAGAGTTTGTCGCTTGTCTGGTTTTCCGCAGTGAATGACCCATCAACATGCATTTCGCTTTCCTGTTTAAAACATCTGTGCATTAGTTGATCTCAACTGTCTATGTACAGTAAATTGTTAAATTCAATCATTCCCCAATAAGAAATAGTTCATTCGTGAATTTTTTTGAATCAACGTAACCGCTTCGATTCAGTCACAAAAACATGGTATGACTGATGTTTTGGATATTTACTGGTCTATCTGGCAACATTATGGTTTCATATGTGCAAATGTTTTATTTCGAAAAAAGTTCCAAATGATTTAGTTTTGGTAAAAATAAATACATTTTAATTCAATGGATTTGTTTAAATTCATTTTATTGCACTACAATTATTTCTAATACCTAGGATAGACAGTTTTTATAACTATTTCATATCATTCATTTAAATAGTATTCAAGTTGGTGGCATCTTGTGAGTTAACCAAAAATTTTGTTAGAATTCAACGGTCAGTTATTCCGCTGTTGATATCCAGATAGATAGATATGTACATTTTCGAATTCTTGAATCGATCGATTCTCTACCATTATAAGTAACCTGATTACACTCGACGACGGTTAGTCGTGAAATGGGACTTGAGAAAAATGAACAAAATTATAAAGAACTAAAAACGGAAGTCGATTACGGAGTCGGTTGAAGGAGACTGGTCGGCATCCTATGCACGTTTTTGGCCATAAAGGTTCAGTGAAGAATAGTGAGCACCTGCAGTTCAGTTTCCTAATTTATTTCTCAGCTGCAGTTTGCTATGTTCTCTAAAACAGTAGCATAATACAGACGTTGTCTGGTCTGACAGCAATCAATCTGGTTTGACGTTAAAACGGTTGAAAATCAATGCAGTACAAGTCCCACTGCTTCGGAAAATAGAAACTGATAGAGGAACTCACTCATCGAAATTCACTTAAATATGACGGAATATGAACTATTAAATACAACGATATTGCAACATTGTCAGATAAGGCCACCGACTTAAAAGTGTAAGAACCAATTTTGAAGAAAATATTGTTGAATCTTATGATAAAACACTGGAAACAAATTATGCGCAAATATATTAACAGAAGCATTTTCTGATCAAGCGACTCACTCTGTAGAACTGGTATCATTTTGTCTTTTGAACACATCAGCTTTTACTTGTCTAGCATTATGTAAATTGGCTCATTTGATAGTGAAAATCGTAGCTATCAGTGTTTTAGGGAATGAAATATCCGTGTGAAACCATATTGTTTCCATGTGCGTTTTTTTCTGTATTTAACGTATCTGAGCATAAGTTAATCCCAACTGTCTATGTAGCATTCAGTTAGCACATACTGATAAATCTGCAATCATAACAAGTGGAACAGCAGTACAGTAAATTGTGAACTTCAATCATTCCCTAATAAGAAATAGTTCATTCGTAAGTTTTTTTTACATCACCACAACTGCTTTTATTCAATCACAAAAGCATAGTAGTACTATTGGACAGGACTTTAACTGGTATATTTTTCTAAAATTATATTTTCATATGCGCAATCATAAATGTTCATTTATATCTCATCTTACTTATTGATGATAGCGGATTATCAAATATGTCAAATAATCACACATGTTCACGGTGATATTTCACTTCAGAAATTATGGATGTTGGAGAATAACATGTTATTTTAATTGAAGTTTTAAATGATTTATTTAATAATACTAAATACATTTCTAATCATATGATTAGTTCCAATCGATTTTCATTCATTACACTCATCATAAGGACGTGCAAGAATATGTTTGTTTCTTTTTTACAAAAAGTATCCAGAATTTTGTCAGCTGAAAATAGCACGTTTACTTTGAAAATGAAAAATTATATATATAAACTTCCGTACTTGTTTATGCCTTAAACTAATACTGAACCTGAATAACCTACCCATAACTTATCCGTGTTTAAGATAAGTAGCCTATAAGATTAGCTATCAGTAGAGTTCATATCTACGTAACGAAATTTATATAAGTACGTTGGTATTATGCATAAAATTGTGTAGCTCAAAATAGAGTAATCGATAGAATAACAGGAACTTCTAGTAAATTTCAGTCAAGTAGGTATTTCTTACCTGTCATATAATATGAAACAACATACAACAAAAACTCCTAAATCCTTGTCAACATAATACGGACACATCTGACGCCGAATAGCTTATCTTGACGTCAACTGATTATCGGGTTGTTGGGCATGCTTACCCAAGTAAAAGTTAGTAATATATGATGTTTTTGATGACCGAAATCCATGATTTTAACACACGGCATTTGTAGAAAAGCTAAACAGGATTAAAATTTTATCGAAGTACTTGATTTTAAAAAAAATATTTTGAAATCTAGAACGAAACGGACTAAACTATTATGTTTCTTTCCATAAACTGTGTTTTCGATGATTATTATTAATCGTAACAAAGCACTAGAAATCATATTACACATTATCATACTAAACGATCATAAAAAATTAATGATTTTATCGGTTGACATTTTTCATATAAATTTGAAATCTTTTCCTCAGAGAATCAAATATGTCTAGGTTCACTGGAATCATGAACCGATCAACGTAAGATCATCCATATAAACACACAACCTTCAGACTATTGTTTCCTCTCATCAGATTTTCACTTCAATAACCACTACATAAGGAACGCCAACTCACAAAATTCGCTTTACTGGTCGAGCCAGTATCCAACTGCTGTTTGGTACCGGATCTGCACCTTGACGACCATGATACACGGGGAGCGAACTCTGAATAAACCTTTATTGAGGCTCAGCACCGAACATTTTTATCTCTGAATAGAGACAAAGCAGTATTACCTAGTTTTAATGAAATAACGAATCCATCATGCTTGGTCTACCACATCAAATACACGAGTTTTGGAAGACTATTTCGTATTAGTATGAAATTCACTACCAGTGACAGTGCATAGTCCTGTAGGTTAGAATGGAATCCAAGACCTTCAGTCTGTAATATATTAATTACTTCTGAAAATTACCATCAAAAACCTATCGTGATAATATATCTATAGACAAAAACATAGCAATCGTGTCACTACAGCGAAAGCATGAAACTTACGGAGCATTCATCATCTGATTTGATAATAACTAAAAACTGTTCAAACTAGTCAGTTTGCTATTGGCGAATATTTAATTTCTCTAAATATTCACATATAAATTATGGGAGAAACGTTTTGTTAGATTGTGTAGTATGATTTTCCGATGACCACAATGAATAAGAAATAGAGAGCTCACTAGTTTATTGGTCCAATGATATCGCTTCAGTATTTACGAACCTCATATATTGTTGGGGATGTTAGATCCCCAAAATTCGCTTGGTAATGCCGTATTTTGGTTTTCACGTTTCGCTAGCATGGGCTGATCAGATGACCTTGAGATTTCAATTCCCACCAGCAAAATCAATGGCTGTGATTGGCTGCAGTGTATTTTAGTATGCTATTTTCTTAACTGTCTCAAGGACGTTGTTATGTTGTATAAATAAACGAGAGTTGTATGCTTGGTTGTTGTGTGATTGCTGGGTGTTTGTAGAATATACTCTCTACGCTTACCAAGACTTCTGTTTTACCGTTTGGATTCAAGGTAGCCTTCCTGGAAGCTGGTAAAAGTCTCGTTCGCGTTTATCGATCAAGGTAAACTCGTAATAGCCTCAAGCATCCTAAGTGACGAACATATCAGTGGCGACGGTGCTTTTGGAAATATGGATCCTGCCAAACTCGAATTACTACTTGAGCAGCAGCTGAAACTGATGCAGATGTTGACAGACATGAAGATTTCCCCTTCCACACAGCCCAGCTCATCTAATGCAACCACAGCTCCATCGGTCGACGGCATCGCAAATAGCATATCTGAATTTCATTATGATCCTGATGCGAATGTCACTTTTGACATGTGGTTCCGGCGTTATGAAGATTTATTTAAATTTGACTTCGCCAACCAAGATGATGCTTGGAAGGTTCGGCTGCTACTTCGAAAGTTGGGCGCAAGTGAGCTGGATAAGTACTGTAATTTGATCCTGCCTTTGAACCCACGAGATTGTTCGTTTTCTGAGACTGTCCAGACTTTAAGCCAACACTTTGGAGACAACTCGTCACTATTTAATACTCGTTATCGATGTTTGAAGCTTATTATGAACGAAGATGATGATTTTCTTACGCACGTGGGCATCGTCAACCGTGAATGCGAACGTTTTCGGTTGAAGTCTTTGTCGGAAGACCAGTTCAAAGCCCTTATACTCATCTGCAGCCTCCAGTCGAGTAAGTTTAGTGACATTAGAACAAGGCTACTAAGTCGGTTGGAGCAAGATCCAAAGCTTACGCTTAATGATATGGCTCATGAGTACCAACGTCTCACTAACCTACAACGAGACTCGACTATAGTTCAGAGTGGTAGTTCAAGCCGATCTGAAATTCATTTGGTACAGCAGCCACCTAATCATTATAAGTCTGCCCGTGCTACACCCAGTTCACCCCGCTCCAATTCGGCCCAAAAATCCAAAATGAATCCACCTTCTGCTTGCTGGCACTGCGGTTCATGGCACTATGTACGGAACTGCCCATTTAGGCAGCATAGATGCAAGAAGTGTAAAGTCATCGGTCATAAAGATGGCTTTTGCCTACAGAAAAAGCCAAAGCGATCCAGAAGTGCTAAGAAGCCTGTTCCTAGATCCAGTACCAATGCATTGAGCTTAATATCTTCCTGCCAGAGCTCATCACCAGGTGAGAGGAAATTTATTACTCTTAATATTAACGGTTATTTGTGTAGAATGCAAATAGATACTGCATCTGATGTCACTATCCTCTCACGCAAAAATTGGACCAAGTTGGGCAGCCCAAGCCTGCAGCACACAACACAAAAGCCTCGTACAGCATGTGGTAATTATCTTCGTCTGTTAGGACAATTGGAATGTAAAGTTGCTTTCCGAGATTCGTCGTTTACTGGGGTATGCTATATAACGCCAGCTGATCTAAATTTACTTGGTTTAGATTGGTTCGACCAGCTAAAATTGGCTGATGTCCCGCTAAATACCATATGCAACCTGGTATCACAACGACATGACCCAGAAGCGTATACGAAGAAGCTGATGACAGAGTTTTCAACCATTTTTGAACCTGGATTAGGTCGGTGCACTGCTATGAAAGCAACACTTCGGCTGAAACATGGGGCTAAGCCTGCTTTTCGTCCAAAGAGACCTGTACCGTATGCTACATTAGCAACAGTAGATGAAGAGCTGGATCGCCTTCAACGACAAGGAGTTATTACTCCCGTTTCTTACTCCAGTTGGGCAGCACCTATAGTCGTTATCAAGAAGGCCAACGGCACGATACGTATATGTGCTGACTTTTCTACAGGTCTCAACGCAGCTCTAGAACAGCATCATTATCCTCTGCCAGTCCCAGCAGATCTGTTCACTATGCTAAATGGAGGAAAGTTCTTCGCAAAGCTTGACCTAGCTGATGCTTATTTGCAAGTGGAAGTCGATGAAGCATCTAAAGAGCTGCTTACTATCAACACTCATCGTGGTTTGTTCCAGTATAACCGTCTACCTTTTGGAGTTAAGACTGCCCCGTCTATCTTCCAACAACTAATGGATACTATCCTGTCAGATATCTCAGGGGTTGCAGCTTATCTCGATGATATCTTGATTGTTGCGAAGACGTTAGAACAGCTACGGGAACGCACGACATTGGTACTACAACGCATCAGTGACAATGGTTTCCGGTTACGCCCAGAAAAATGCCAGTTTCTATTGCAGTCGGTAAAGTATTTGGGATTCATCTTTGATGCCGACGGTCGCAGACCGGATCCTGAAAACATCCGAGCTATCAAACTGATGCCCACTCCCACTAATGTTTCCGAATTACGATCTTTTCTCGGTTTGATCAGTTATTATTCAGCTTTTGTTCCCTCGATGCATGATATTCGCGCTCCATTGAATTGTCTACTGCAGAAGCATAGCACATGGAACTGGACTAAAGAGTGTGACGCGGCTTTTGGTAAACTCAAGTCTATAATTAGCTCGGAATTGTTATTAACACACTCTCTAGTCCAGTTCCATGTGCTATGCTTCTGCAGTAGACAATTCAATGGAGCGCGAATATCATGCATCGAGGGAACAAAAGCTGAATAATAACTGATCAAACCGAGAAAAGATCGTAATTCGGAAACATTAGTGGGAGTGGGCATCAGTTTGATAGCTCGGATGTTTTCAGGATCCGGTCTGCGACCGTCGGCATCAAAGATGAATCCCAAATACTTTACCGACTGCAATAGAAACTGGCATTTTTCTGGGCGTAACCGGAAACCATTGTCACTGATGCGTTGTAGTACCAATGTCGTGCGTTCCCGTAGCTGTTCTAACGTCTTCGCAACAATCAAGATATCATCGAGATAAGCTGCAACCCCTGAGATTGTCGGACAGGATAGTATCCATTAGTTGTTGGAAGATAGAGGGTGCAGTCTTAACTCCAAAAGGTAGACGGTTATACTGGAACAAACCGCGATGAGTGTTGATAGTAAGCAGCTCTTTAGATGCTTCATCGACTTCCACTTCGCAAATATGCATCAGCTAGGTCAAGCTTTGCGAAGAACTTCCCTCCATTCAATAGTGAACAGATCTGCTGGGACTGGCAGAGGATAATGATGCTGTTCTAGAGCTGCGTTGAGACCTGTAGAGAAGTCAGCACATATACGTATCGTGCCGTTGGCCTTCTTGATAACGACTATAGGTGCTGCCCAACTGGAGTAAGAAACGGGAGTAATAACTCCTTGTCGTTGAAGGCGATCCAGCTCTTCATCTACTGTTGCTAATGTAGCATACGGTACAGGTCTCTTTGGACGAAAAGCAGGCTTAGCCCCATGTTTCAACCGAAGTGTTGCTTTCATAGCAGTGCACCGACCTAATCCAGGTTCAAAAATGGTTGAAAACTCTGTCATCAGCTTCTTCGTATACGCTTCTGGGTCATGTCGTTGTGATACCAGGTCGCATTTGGTATTTAGCGGGACATCAGCCAATTTTAGCTGGTCGAACCAATCTAAACCAGTAAATTTAGATCAGCTGGCCGTTATATAGCATACCCCAGTAAACGACGAATCTCGGAAAGCAACTTTACATTCCAATTGTCCTAAACAGACGAAGATAATTACCACATAGCCTGTAGCGAGGCTTTTTGTGTTGTGTGCTGCAGGCTTGGACTAGCCCAACTTGGTTCCAATTTTTGCGTGAGAGGATAGTGACATCAATGCAGTATCTATTTGCATCTACACAAATAACCGTGTTAATATTAAGAGTAATAAATTTCCTCTCACCTGGTGATGAGCTTTGCAGGAAGATATTAGGCTCAATGCATTGGTACTGGAACTTCTAGGAACAGGCTTCTTAGCACTTCTGGATCGCTTTGGCTTTTCTGTAGGCCAAAAGCCATCTTTATGACCGATGACTTTACACTTCTGCATCTATGCTGCCTAAATGGGCAGTTCCGTACATAGTGCCATGACCGCGGTGCCAGCGAGCAGAAGGTGGATTCAATTTGGGAGTTTTGGGGCCGAATTGGGAGCGGGGTGAACTGGGTGTAGCACGGGCAGACTTATAATGATTAGGTGGCTGCTGGTAGGCCTAAATGAAATTTCAGATCGGACCCCTTGAACTACCACTCTGAACTATAGTCGAGTCTCGTTGTAGGTTAGTGAGAACGTTGGTACTCATGAGCCATTACATTAAGCGTAAGCGGTTGGATCTTGGCTCAACCGACTTAGTAGCCCTTGTTCTAATGTTCACTAAACTTACTCGACTGGAGGCTGGCAGATGAGTATAATGGGCGTTGAACTGGTCTTCCGGACAAAGACTTCAACCGAAAACGTTCGCATTCACGGTTGACGATGCCCACGTGCGTAAGAAAATCATCATCTTCGTTCATAATAAGCTTCAAACATCGATAACGAGTATAAATAGTGACGAGTTGTCTCACAAAGTTGGTTGGCTAAAAGTCTGAACAGTCTCAGAAAACGAACAATCTCGTGGGTTCAAAGGCAGGATCAAATTACAGTACTTATCCAGCTCACTTGCGCCCAACTTTCGAAGTAGCAGCCGAACCTCCAAGCATCATCTTGGTTGGGCGAAGCAAATTTAAATAAATCTTCATAACGCCGGAACCACATGTCAAAAGTGACATTCGCATCAGGATCATAATGAAATTCAGATATGCTATTGCGATGCCGTCGACGATGGAGCTGTGGTTGCATTAGATGAGCTGGGACTGTGTGGAAGGGGAAATCTTCATGTCTGTCAACATCTGCATCAGTTTCAGCTCTGCTCAAGTAGTAATTCGAGTTTGGCAGGATCCATATTTCCAAAAGCACCGTCGCCACTGATATGTTCGTCACTTAGGATGCTTGAGGCTATTACGAGTTTACCTTGATCGATAAACGCGAACAAGACTTTTACCAGCTTCCAGGGAAGGCTACCTTGAATCCAAACGGTAAAACAGAAGTCTTGGTAAGCGTAGA